ACAGACACTCGGAAATGGAAGCTCACTCTCACTGGCCGGCCCCCGACGGGGTTCTCACCTTGGGGTGCCGGGCTCACCTGGCCAGGTCTCGCGAGCATCCTCTCCGCTCCCGACACCATCTGACTGGCCTTTGTCTCCTGGCTTGAGTGAGACCACTCCCTTCGCCCATGCTCGAAATGTCTCTGTTCTGTCTCTACCTTCTGTTGTGGGCGACCACAGCCATGGCAACGAGACCCAGCCTGTCTTTGAACTACAGAAGGTCGATCCTACCTTCACGGACAGTATGGGCCACTTCACTCGGCGCTTTGAGGAGCGTCTTAGGAAGTACGACAAAAACTCCATCAATGATGATTGTATCGAGACCTACCTGATGAAGAGTGAACGCAAGTTCTTCAACATGTACAACGACGCGCAGCTTAAGAAGCATATCGAAGACCGACCCATGACCTCGCCCAAATCCGAGAACTTCGTCCAGGACACCTCGTATAACCGTGTCTCAGACGCGGGGCCGAACTCCAACGAAGATGAGATTGACCGATGGCTCGCTCGTTTGGGATACAGCCGCCCGATGTTCCTGCAACGATTCATGAGACGACGCATTGGAAACTGGCCGATTTACGCTCTCTTCCTTGGTCTTGGGCAGATTATCGCGACGAACTCCTCGCAAATGACCTTGTTGGCCGGTCAGGTTGGTGAAACCGCCACCAAGGTGTATGTCATTGCCGCGATATACTGCGTGTCTTCGATCTGTTGGTGGTTCCTCTATTACACTGTTCCTTCGGTGATCGTCCTCAGTCTTCCCTGGTTTATCTATTGTATGGCTTTCGTGGTCATGGGCATTTCGCCGTTTGGTGCCTCTACTCTTGGTCGCGCATGGGCTCAAAACGTGGCTGCTGGTGTGTATGCTGCCGCGTCCTCCAGCGGCTCGCTCTTCTTCGCCCTCAACTTTGGTGATCAGGGTGCAGTCCCCGTCAAGGATTGGATGTTCCGTGCCGCTATGATTCAGGGTATTCAGCAAATTTACACCGTCGCCCTTTGGTACTGGAGTCAAAGGGTTACAACGGTCGAGGTCGCTGGCATTTCTACTCTCGCTCTGAACACCTGGCGCCTAACCGCAGTGGTGATGCCCATCGCCGCTCTGTGCTTTGTGATCGGTGTCCTCCTTGCACTGGGTCTGCCCAAGTACTACCGTCAGGCACCGAGCCGTATCCTCGACTTCTACACCTCGCTCCTCCGGCGCCGCATCGTCCTCTGGTTCTTTTTCATGGTGATCATCCAGAACTGGTTCCTTGCCGCTGCTACTGGTCGCAATTGGTCTTTCCTGTGGTCCTCTCAGCATGCGAAGACATGGGAAGTCGTTGTCCTTGTGATTGGGTTCTTTATCGTCCTCTGGATCGCTATTATGCTTCTCTTCCGCTACCTAGGCAAAGAGCATACCTGGGCACTCCCTGTCTTCGGATTGAGCTTGGGTGCTCCCCGCTGGGCCCAAATCTGGTGGGGAACCTCGAATGTCGGCAAGTATCTCCCTTGGGCTGGTAGTCTTACCTCTGGTGCGCTTGTTTCGCGAGCCATTTGGCTCTGGCTGGGTGTTCTCGACGAGATTCAGCAAGTTGGACTTGGTATGATCCTCCTGCAAACTCTGACCAGAGTACACGTTTGTTTTGTACTCTTGGCCGCACAGGCCTTTGGCTCCATCGCTACTATGGCTGCGCGTGGATTTGCCCCGAACAAGGTTGGACCAGGTGGTATTTCGCCCGACGTGGGCACCAGTGTTGACAAGGTTGGGAACGCCTGGTTCTGGATCTCGCTTTTCTTCCAACTTCTGGCAGCGTAAGTCTTCACATCCTCTTCAGTCGGTGCGCACATTATACTAACGCGGTTTATAGCTGGGGTTTCTTCTTCTTCTACCGGAAGGAGCAGCTCAACAGGCCTTGATGTGATCATGACTTGTGTTTAATCTTGTTTTGCATATACCATGCATATACCATCTCATTTGCATCTATAGAGAGCCTGTATAGACCCGTTTGGTTTTTTTCGTCTGTGGATTTCGCAGTGTCTATAGCGTTGTGGGTATGATAGAGTGAGCTGTATATACTCATATAAGTAAATAGTTTGGAGAAGTAGTTGTTGTGTGGTACATACACCAGTTCTCACGTCCAGTCTTCTTTCCTGAGGTTGAGCGTATTCCATGATAGGTAGTGGTCTTGCAAATTCTCTTTCTGAATCCGTAGACTCTACGCAATTGTAGTCGTAGCAGTTAGGGCTACCGGCCACGGCCACCGTGGATCGGAGCCCTCCGAGAAAACCCCAGGCTACATGCGGCTCGCACCCCCCGAATTCCAGAGAACCAAAGTCAAGAAAAGGGATGAGACATTAAAAATGGCAATAAAATCATAGATCTCAAATTTATAGTTAAGAGGCCGCTGAGTTGGCTCATGGATTGCCTGGCCAGGTGGTGAAGAAGCTGTGGTGGGACGGACATTCCGAATCCGGTGATACTACTGTAGCTGTACCGGTACCTGTGCCCGCAGTGGTGCGGTGCGTGCCTCAACCATGGCCGTTTGCGGCATGAATGCGGGTCTTTTTATTCCCTCTTTTTTCAATTAGCTTATTGTGTTATTCTTCATTGTGGTTGAGAATCTTTGTCTGTAGTTTGGGGAGGTCGACTAGGCTGTCATCTGTCGTGGTATTGGCAGGAAGGGGGCGGGGAATTGTTCGGGATATTATCTTGGGATCCGTGATGTTTTGAGATATCTCGGTCATTATTTTGGGGTGGGATCGTTTTTTCCACTGGATGTACAGTGCCTATTTGCTTCCTCGGAATGTGTCCTATTGGCTTGGCTTGCCCTGAGTAATTTGTATCAGGGATAGTTTATATTCAACGATCTACAAGCAAAAGGTATGTTGCGCCTGCTTTCCCCCTCCCTTCCTATAAACTCATCTTCCCTCTCGTCTCCACGGGCACCCACAGAACCAGCAAGCCGGCGAGGACAAACATGCCGCCACTGATGTAGACGGGGACGCTGGTCTGGATGCCGGCGACGATGGCGATGACGGGGGCCAGGATGCCGCCGATGCGGTTGGCGCCGCCGACGAGGGCGTTGCCGGTGCCGCGGTACTGGGTCTCGAAGATCTCTGGGGTGTAGGCGTAGAGCACGGCGTACAGGAGGCTGCTGGTGAAGCTGTAGGCGCAGTTCCACCCCAGCAGCGCGGCCGAGGAGCGCGCCGTGGTCGAGGCCAGCAGGAAGGCGCCCGTGCAGCCGGCGCCCACGGCCAGCGTGCCCTTGCGGCCCAGCCGCGGGATCTCCACCATGATCCCGCCCACCAGGCTGCCGGGCACCCCCACCGCGCTGATGATCAGCGAGTTGCGGTAGGTCAGGTACGTGCTGCCGTCGCCGAATTGCACCCCGCGCGTCTGTTGCAGGTAGGGCAGGAAGGCGTTGTAGAGCGGGAAGCCCAGGCCGATCAGCGCCCAGATCAGGATCATTAGGATCGTGGTGCGTGCGCGCTGGCGTGAGGCGAAGAGTGCTTTGAGTGAGGTCAGGCTCAGTAGGGAGAGGCGCGCGCGGAGGTGGTCGGCTAAGCGGAGGGGGTGGTGATGGTGGTCGGGTCTTGCTGGTGCTGGCTGTTGTTGTTGCTGCGGGATGGGGGTTGCGTTGTCGTTATTGTCGTTGGCGAAGAGAGAGCGGTCGCCTCCGTCTTCGTCGGTGAGATCGTCGATGGAGAGCGTGGTCGTCTTGCCGTTGCGGCGGGCCACTTCGTGGATGACCGTCACGGATTCTTCGTACAGGCCCTTGCCCATGAGGTACTTGGGGGATTCGTAGAGGGTGAAGAAGACGCAGCGCGCGATGCACATGACGAGCGCGATGCCGCCCATCGTGAGCAGGAAGTAGCGCCAGCCCATGTTGGTGGATTTGGTGCAGTTGGCGGCCGAGGCGCACGTCATGTTGCCGATCAGCGGCCAGGCGACGAGGTTGGCGAGCACTTGCGCCAGCGCCCAGTTCAGCGAGAGCACCGTCAGCAGGTACTGATGCGAGCCCGGCAGGAATTCGAGGAAGATGGCCGAGTCAACGGGCAGGTTGCCGCCCACGCCGAAAGACCACAGCGCCGTGAAGACCCCGACCGCGGCGAAGGTGGGCGACCCCGCCGCGATCAGGCCGAAGATGGCCGTGATGGCAATGGTCATGTTGAAGGCCCAGCGTCGGCCGAACACATCGCAGGTGAAGCCCCAGAAGAGCGAGCCGGCCAGCAGTCCGATGTTCTGGGCCAGCGACAGTAACGGCGGCTGCGCGACGTGGAATTCGTAGGAGACGGGGACCAGGATCAGCGAGGTCACGATGGGCCAGAGATTGTCGCTGGCCCAGCCGAAGCCGATCACGCCAAAGAGCTGCCATTGATACCGTCCCATGCCGATCTCTTGGATGGCACGGTTCAGCCGGTCCGCCTTGAAGCGATAGTCGGACGCTGCGGCGTCATCGGGATAGGAAGACTGCTCGGATAGTGGACTGGTGGATTGTAAGGGCTGTGACTCGCTGGGCTTGGCGGAGAGCGTGGGCATGGTCGTGGTCATGGTCATTGATGTAATGAGATGTGATTAAAGGTGTGTTGAAGATATCAAGGTCTGAAGGAGGTGAGTGTTGAGATATACTTCGGTCGGTCGGTCGGTCGGTCGGTCGGCGGAGAGGATGTGCGGGGAACTCCCATTAAGCTTATTCTCGTCGCAGCTTCCACTTTCACCTCTTCTCCACTTAATCACTTCACCATTTCCTCAATCTCTTCTCCGATCGGATTGAAAACAAGAAGCTGTGAGAAAGAGGGAGAGAAAGAGAGAGAGAGAGAACGATGATGGGAGGGAAAGAGAGAGAAAAGAAAAAAAAAAAAGAAAGAAAGAAAAGGGTAAGTAAGCGAGAAGCGACCAGGAAGGGATGACGCGATCGGACAATGAGTGACTGAGAAACTGACGACTGCAGCTCACATGAATCCCTCAACCTTCCTCCTTCCTAGTCCTGCATGAAAGAAATCTTGAGATACGAAGGAGGATCTTCTTTGTGATTGATATAACATACATACTTACGTACAATCCCCTACGGAATCGTGAGGTAACGATTACCAGCCTGCTCATGATCTCAACGACTCAATGATCTCTCCTCCTTCTCCTTCTCCCGACATTCCTTCTACTGCGACGGTGACACAGCAATCCCACCTTGCTTTCACGCTTGTTAGCCGGCCAAGGCACTGTACGGGGTCAACCCGGGATAAAACGAGGTCGGGATGGTCGGAATGGGAATGGAAGCAGTGAGGCCAAATGCGGTCGCCAAGTCGGCTGCCATGGTTGTCGCCGAATACCCTGAGGGAGCCGCCGTGACAGTGCTGGTCGTGGTGTAGGATGTGTGCGAAGAGCTGTCCTTCAGACAGTATCCCGATCCGTAAGCGGAACGGCACAGGTACAGTTCACTCGAGCCGCTTTCGGTCCAGATGGCAATATCTTCCAGCGTCAAGTCCGTGCAAGGCGCCGTGTCACTACACACAACTCGGATCGGTGGTCGGGTCGCTCCGTTCGCCTCGGTGCCCTTCCAGTTCTTCACCGTGATGTTGTTCAGCTGCACCCCGTCCCCGGCCACCGCAGTCATGCTGCTCCAGTAGCCATCGATGTCGAGCGAGTACGCATTCCCGTGCCCTAGATAAAGGGGATCAGTTAACGGTCAAGCCAGAAAGGCGGGGCATAGGCAGCAGCACTGACCGATGAAATTTTCCAGCAAAACATTCGACACCGTTCCACTGCCACCATTGCTCTTAATCATGTACATCTGGTTCGAGGACCAGGTGTAAACATTGCGGTAGACAATATCGGTGACGTCGGTGTCGGCCCCGAGCGATCCCATTGCGCAACCACCACTCCAGTTGCAATAGATGCTCTCCACCAGAATATTGTTGGCAGGGCTCTGCGGTCCGTCTGTCAGTCAAGGCTCGAGCGCGTCAATTCGTGCTTGCAAAGGAAAGCCTTACCTTGACTGTTACACATTCATCCTTGTTGGTCACTTCAACCTAAATGCGTGCACATCTCGTGAGCGACAGAGAAGTAGCATATTGCCACTCGGGCGTGACTTACATCGTGAACCCAGATGTTGCTTCCCCAGACATCAATCCCGTCCAAGCCGCCCTCATTGCCACCACGAATCGCCATGTTGTACACCTCGCCATCGGAGCAGGTATCCATGGTGAAGTGGAAAGCAGGCGCATCCACCAAGATCACATCATGCACGGAGAAATGGGTCACATCGGTCAAGCGCAGAATCCGTGCTCCGTAGGTTCCCTCCGCATGGTACACATAGCCGAATCCCTGCACAGCACCTTTGGAGGTGCTACTGAAAAGCTCGAAGTCGGTGGTGTCAGTGACTGCGATCATGTTCCCACTGGCGGTACCTGTGCGATAGATGATACCATCCAGCTGGATTGCGGTCGCACTGCCTCCAGTCAGGGTGACCCAGGTGTCTAGGGCATAGTTGCCAGATGGGATGTAGACAAGACCTCCGCTTTTGCATGCAGCCCAGGCCGATGTAATGGCAGGCCCCACATCGGTCGAGTTGTCGGCCACTGCGCCGTAGCTTAGGATATTGCATGTTTTTGTCGCACCTTTGGTGGACGCAGAGGTCAATGGGCCAACACTGCCAGAGAGTTGACCGCTGACGAGCGCCGGGATAGCACCCAGCGCAAGAAGGAAAAGACCACGCATGATTCACTTGAATCAATGGGAGCAACCTCGATTTGCTTGATTCTTGGGATTCTCAAGAACTTACGCAGCAACTGCAGCTTTTATATCGCAGGAAGGAGCTTTCATGGTGATTATGGTCAAGGGTTCATGTCCACCGGAGAATATACAACGTATAATCATCCTCCACCCCCTCCAGGCGCTGAGACTCAAGCAGGCTGAAGATTCTCCGTCCTGTCGGATGTTGATTGTGGCTTCCTGCCTTGTGACATTAAGTGTCAGAACCCCTTTGGATGATGATCTCTACTGTTTTCGCTCACAAGCCCAGTGGAGTGACCGGAGTCAAGCTTCTTCAACGAGGCTTCAAACCCCAAGCTTCTCCTTATTCATGGAGAATTCTGATTGATTATACCGCCACGCAAGCCGATGTCAGCACTACTCGAGCATCCGTCTCGAGGCTTGAAGCGCTGATCACATTCCCAATTGATAGTGATTCCTGCGAAGGATTTAGTTCCAGGGGCGGCTAGGAGGGTTCATCTCGGCAAATGTCAAACAGGAACTCATCCCCCCAGCTAGATGCATCGCCTGACGACTTTGTGGGGTACGTGCGGCGGGGTGATGCATGCAACAACAAGCAATCACCATAAAGCTTCTGCCCTGAAATTCCGGGTTGATTTGATGCGAGCAGGAAAGAAGAAATTGTTTAAGAGCAGCTGTCGGGTGAGTGACGGCCGAGTATCCAGTGGGTTACGTGCCGGTTGTGTTCTTCGTGTTGCACCCAGCGCTCAGGCCCTACCAAGACGGCCAGCATCACATTCGCGACGCCAAAGTCGCTTGATATTTGACGCCTGTGTCCCGCAATTGGATAGCCGAGTAATACAGAATGTCGTCATCGTTCTCGTCAGGGGCACTCTGCCTACGATAGCTGTGCTATCCCCGAGAATACCATATTACGAAGAGTCGAAATAGTCTTGAAGATAGTCTAAAGAGCAAGCTTTGACCAATCAGAGTCATCTCTTGGCTAGTTCCGATCCTAGCATCCCGCGCTCTAAGCCATGAAACGCTCGCTCAACGCCCTCTGGAATATCGACATGATCAATGAACCCTTTACCCCGTGGCCCATAGCCATTCTCATCATCTCTCAGGCGCGGTATTTCACCCATCAGCAGTCCTAGAAAGCGAGGTATACTCCACAGCGATTCTGCAGGGATCCCGTCTACCTCGTACACCAGCTCATTATCTTCCTGCAACCGGACCCGGGGCACTATGATTGGCCAGCTTATGAAATCCGGGGTCATCGGCGCAAAGGCCTTGACGAATGAGGCAATCGTCCTTCGGGCCATGGTGGGATCCTGGACGATAATTACGGAATTAGGTGCCGGGATGGCATTCCTCGCCAGCAGGCGCCTTGTCTGTATCGCGTTCTGCCCGCAATTCGTGGACTGGTCCTCGACCAGCAGGTTACCTCCAGCCTTCCGGAAGTCCGAGGTCACGGCCTCGAAACATCGCGTGAAGATGGTGTGGAGCACTTGGGCTTCTGCCTTGCCCTGAATCTCCGGGGCAAGATGCGCGTATTTGGGGTGCTTGGACACCGCCTCATACAGGTAAGGGGTGGAGTGGCCAATCCCGCCGCAGAAGACGAGGGTTTTGGTGGCGTGCGGGTTGTTGGCGAGGAATGTGAAGACCGCTTCAGCCTGGTGGAGGACGGCGGACACGCAGATCACAATGCAGTCGACTGCGTGGGGGGGCGGCTGTGCTGCGGGGAGTTGCTCGTGAGCGAGGAAGGTGGAAATCAGGTTGATGTTATGGGGGTCAATGGATGACATTTTTTGTCCTTGTTGTTGTTGTTCTCTTCTTGCTTTTGTTTGGAGATGGGATCGATGACTGCTTCTGAATTTAATTAGGTTCTTGTTCAAGGTTGTGTTCTGTGATTGTGAAAAGCAGACGGCAGACGGCACGGGTAGAATCAACAGTGGGGAAAACCTGGAGCCGATCTCCGTCCCTCGGCATCGCCTATTTGGGAAAGTTCCCTGAGATAGTACGGTACTCCGGACTCATACTATCTACTGTACACTATTTACCTCTACCTAGATTTCTTGCATGATCATCAACTTGATTACTCGATTCAACTGCTACTCTGCCCTTGATAACTACTCACATCTGGCAAGCATACCACCAACATGAAGCGATTGCTCAAACTGGTCAAGAACCATCCAACTTCAACCGCATCCGCTCTGCGCGTCTCTGCAGCTCTTCCAACGTCAGGAACTGCCTCAATCGATAATCTACAGGGCGCATCTGTGGCAGCAGCAGAGCTATCAGATGTTCTTGGTGCCTCTCTCAAGGACATTGACCTTGAAGGTGGCTACTTGACTCCAACCTGGAGATAGCTTGCTCGTCGCTAATATTGCTGTAAGACAATCTCAGTGTCCAGGCTCGGGCTCTGGCCACGCGCTTGGATGATGAAGCATCCAGATATGGCAACGCGCAGCTGAGCTCTGAGCAATGTGACGAGAACTGGACATGGTAGAGCCGGATCCCCTCTATGGTTGGGAAAGGGCTCCAGCTGATGCACTCAAGCTCGCAAGATCAATCTCTTCTCATATCACTCGCATGGGACTGCGCCACTGAGTCCTACAATTTTGCTTCCACCCGCCCCCCCCGCACGATCAAGAATTGTGTATTGACTCAGGACCATGAAGTTACGCCTTCTATCAATGGGACAGTCAAGGCCGCTACTTTCACAACAGTTGATCTGAAGGATACATCAAGCGGAAATGAGCTTCTGCCTGTGTTGGTCATCGCGATCAGGGGAACTGCCAGTACTGTGGATCATATAGTTAACATCAACAGCAAGCCACAAGAGGCGAGTCACTTCATTGTAAGTCAGTGGTATTGCCCTCACTACAGACGGTCATCATTCTAACGGCTGTCTCTATCAGAATCCTGCCTGTTTTGAGCTCGAGGATCACTCACCACAGAGCAAGCTAGAGGCCCATTCCGGATTTCTGCATAGTGCAATAGCACTGGAAGCCATCCTTTCGGAGAGAATAGAAGCCTACAGTCGTCTCCATGCTGACATTGGCAGTCACATTCTCTTTACCGGTCACTCCGCAGGAGGTGCCGTAGCCTCACTACTTTTCCTCCACTATATCTCAGAGACAATTCCCCAGGTCGCAAGGCACATCTCTTGCATCACGTTCGGTGCCCCACCAGTAGTCACATTACCGCTGATGGATGGCATCAGGCACCGAGGCCTGCCGGCAAAACTATGCTTGAACCTCATCAACGAGTTCGACCTTGTCACTAGAGCAGATAAGAGCTACATTTTATCGCTTGTTAATCTACTACGATCGCGCGATGATTCTTCCCTTGTGGTTGCAGATGCGGATGCTGCATGCGAGCAAGCTTTTGATTCATTCTCCGATAATGCTGAAGGTTGCTGGCGATTACCGCGCTCTCTTTACAGCCACGTTGGGCCCCGTATCGTTTTATTCATGCGGTTGGGGAGTTTGCAGGAACACTCACCGCAGTTACGCGCTGCCTCCGTGTCCCGGACCGCGTTTGACAGACTGCTATTCTGTCGTCTTTCCGTTCACAAGCGAAATTACTATGCGCAAACGGTGGGACAGCTGTTGGCTGGTCAGGCAAATGGAGAAAATTGAGAAGCACGACAATAAGAACATGCTTTCGCTTACGGTACCCGTAGTAAGCGAAGTACGCATCAATGGATATGGTCTCTAGGCGGCGAGCATTTAGCGAAATCGGAAATGCCCTTCGAAAGAACGGGACAAGTGACGCCAGAAAAACCTCCATCATCTCCGTTACACACTAATATCTCGACCAAAACGAGGCGTGTTTGCCGCTTATCGGATGAAACGGTACAATTGATCGGATTTCGAGGGTCGACTCAGAAGGTTAGCAATTTGGTAGATAGGGTCGCATTCTCAAAGGATACATTAATCAGCGGACTAATTCGAATTCTCCTCGTTTGGCGACTCTGGGCATTCAGCCTCACTTTTGCACAGCCTCGGATACCCCGGCCTCTAAGCACGAGCCCGGTGCCTGGCCTTGGCGATCCTCGTATTTTCCAGCCTTGCGTCCCGGCAACAAACCTACTCCGCAGGCAATGTGCTGGGAGGCCTCAGTCCCTCAACCTTAATATCATGTCTTGAGATCATGGAGGAGTTGGGTCTCGACCTTGCAATTCTCATTTCAGCACACACTTGCATTCATGCAGCAGCCACCATGTCTTGCCTGGGCGGGATTCGCCTCAGTCACCGCTTCGAGCGATCTTCGCTGCCGAACATTACTCTTGCTCCCAGAGCCCCGTGGAAACTGGTAGGGCCTGCTAGTGTGCATTTGCAGACTGAGCTTGAGACTCTTTACTGGTATGGCGTGGGGCTCGAGCTCGAAAATATCATACGCACCTTGAAAACCTGGCAGCAATCAGAGTATACAGATGTGGCAGTCGATGATGACCATGACAACAATGTACACGGCTTTGACACATTTATTGATCAGGTCACTCAGGAAACACGGGCGTTTGCGCTACGATATGGTAGTGTGCGAGTCTGTCCACTACAATCAAGCTCGGGCTAACTTCTTCTGCCAATACAGGGGAAGAGAAAACTGCGAGGACAGCCGATCAGGATAAGATCTTGCCTTCTGTTATGAGCAACGTTGAGATCAAGGAGGCATTACGCAAAGCAAAACTCGCGGAGGTAGAATATCAGAGCACTAACGTTGATGTTAAGGAGGAGGTGCGAAGGAACACGGAAGGTTGTTGGCCATTATCTGCTTTCCTTGCCCAAAGCTAATGAGGCCTTCTAAAGACATTGCATCATCTTCCGGTATCCAGGAGCGGGCACGTATCCTTCTACAAGCTGCGGGTGAGTCTAGAGGGTGCCAGTCTGAGAGTATCTCAACTGACTTTAAGCCTACGCAGGGCTCCTCGATATCGACAAACTGGTTGAGCACCGTCCACCCCTAGAAGACCTTGGCTTCTGGGCTCGACCTGCCATTCCACAACGTATGGACCTAATACCACATTTTCTCCAACCAATAACAAGTACATATATCTAATTAAGTCTCTAGTCACTTTGTCTGGCTTTGACAGTGACTGGAATGCCAGGCTGGAGCCTCTGAAATGTTCGGACTGCTCCAGTATCATTCGAGGTAGCATGTTTACCCATAGTGGCAAATCGAATCATGCGAAACAACTCACCGTCTGCGAGGACTGTTATCGAAAACTCTATTTTGGCAGAGAACAATATGTCAAGGTATACAAGCACTGCGTTCTTGCCGAGACCATTACTCCTACTCTGAGTCAGGATTTGTGTCATTGTGCAGACGTCTCTCGCCTTGACAGCAGTGGACTTCCAGGTGCCCTCTTTCCAATCCCTAAGGGAGAAAGGCATGTTGCAATTCCAATCGCGAAGAGATGCAAATTACTCGAACTCAATACTCGAGTCGCCCTCGCAAAATACCACGGTCTCCAGTCTACAGTTCGTGATCACAGGAAGAAAGACAAGAAAACGACCAGATTCCGAGTTAAATCAGCTGGTGCAGCTGGACGGGTGAAGTATGAGCCAGCCAAGAAAGTAATTTTGAGAAAAGAACCCGATTCGAAGCAGGCGGCCCTGCGGCCCGAGCCAGGAAAGGAAGCCCCTTTTGCCCGTGACCAAGATACAAACACTGCTTCAATGAAGGAAGCCATGGCTGACGAAGATATACCGTTATTTTTTCGTCACTTTGCCCAACAATACCCTTTTGGCAATGTTCACATGGCTTTGCGAGTTGGGCCACTGGTCATTGAAAATGGGGTCGCAAAGTAAGCATAGACCTATTTCGATACATATGCTTCTGAAAGCAATACTGACCGCCACTACAGCGCCAAGAAAGGTGCCTTAGTTACTATGAGAGAACTGCCTACCTTTCATGATAGGCCTGACTCCTGCAGTTCACGCTCTCGTCATCCTAGTTTAGCAATTGGTGGCGACCCTAAAAGACGCCTTTGGCAGCAGCAGCGCCTCGTTGGAACTCCCAAACGATACAAAGCTACCATGAAGCAGGTTGTCGGGGTACCATTCACCGGTGCCCTTTCTGGATCTTCCGATGTTGAGCAGGAATTTGAGATTATATGGCTTATTGTGGCGGCTAGTCGTGGGTATTTCGACCATCCAGGACTTCCCGCCAAAGAACAGCGTAAGAGTCTAGACGCTGCGCTGGATCAGATAATGACCAAGCTCAAGCAACTTCTTAAGCCAAGGGTCAATTTCTATTTGAATGCCATTGCGAGGAAGTTACTTGATCCAAATACAACTCTCGCCTGGAGCGCTATTGGGAATAACTGTCAATCGTTTTGCGACTCACTCATTGACATGGATTTTTTTGAGCCCTTGGTCGGAACGGCTTCGACAGGACAAGCTTCGGGGGCTGCATCTCCGTTATATCTTATGAGCTTTGTTTGTCCACAGGACGGCTATCTACGTAGCCAAGTCCGCACGAAGTACGATGTTCCCAGCGGACTGACCGAGGAATACCTTCTTCGCTTCCACTTCGGTCGACATGATGAGGCCGATGTTCTGGACACTCTCCAGGAGTACTGGTACGACTGGGGCGCATTTGGTGGTACACTTTACAAGTACCAGGATCTTTTCCCCTGGGATTGCACCGAAGCTTATCAGCAGCACCCCAAATTCTGCGGGTCCTGTAGTCTCGCTAAGCATACTTGGGCATTTCCATTCGACGCTTGGTCTATAATCGCGTTACATCTCCAGCGAGGTCGACAAATGTACGCCACAGCGAAGCCAAGCAATCGAGGAACGAAGGATGTTTCCTGGGTGCGTAATCGACTTACTGTTCTCACAGCCTTGTCTCTCCTGAACCGAGGAGCGGCTGCCATGGCTCGAAGTGAAAAGTTCGTGCAAGCGACCCAATGGCTCCATTCTGCAGGTAAGGGTCTTCGACAGGCACACCCGTCACTGACAAGGGTGAAACTGGGAGGAATTCACCGCGCCCAGCCCTATAGCCACTACTACGAAGCGGGGACCTACAGTCATTACTTTCTCGCCAAGTGGGCTTCACGACCACGGTCTGAGCAGATTCAGGAATACGAAGCCTTGCGCAACGAGCGTGCCAGGAGGCCCGATGTCGGTGGCAGCGGTCGTAGCGGGAGATTCTCCTTACCCAGGACGGAAGGCGCAAGAAAGGAACCGACCAATCTGGATTTCCTGGGGTTTGAAGGGCTTGACTATGATTTCGATCGATTGCATACCAACAGTTCAGTCGATGACAGCTGTGACGAGGTGGTATCTACTGATGCAGATTATCACTCTGCTCACTCTGCTCACTCTTCCCCTGGCGATGCAGATAGCGACTCTCAACCTAGCTCTGGATCGATGACCGGCCTGGAATCGTTGTATTCGTCGCATGGTGTCTCCTCAACCAATGACTCCCAGCAAACCAAAGCCAATGAAGGAGCACCAGTGCGGGAACTTCGAGACACAGCATACCGGGACACCGTGCATCCAAGCAGAATCGATTATGAAGCCGGCCATGAACGAGATACCCAATTCAATACCCAAGGCGCAGTTAGGGCAGACAAAGAGGGGGCCGAATGTCGCGACGAGTCGCCCAAGCAAAATCAGCCTGGGGATAATGGCGGTGGCCCCCGAGCCTCCTATCAGTACGACTCCACTTTCGCGACGTGGGCAGGTCACTCGAAATATCAACATCCCGGCCATGTTGACTACACCTGGAAGACAGATTCTGGCGTAGCGAAATCTACTGGAAATGGAGAGGGCCATACTGGTTCAGGGCACGGATATCCCAGTACAAATTCCTCCGGGTATGGCAGTCGCAATCACGACGGTTGGTCTAGTGGCTATACTGGGGGTTGGAACCCGTATTTCAGCAGCCGCTCTCATAGTAGTGGCAGTAGCCACCACGGTAGCAGTTCGAGTGGTTCATATGGCGGGGGTAGTTCAAGCTCGTATCGCAGCAGTTCGGGCGGAGGAAGCAGCTCATATGGTGGTGACTCAAGCAGTTCGTCTGGCGGCGGTGGCTGGAGCGATTCGTATGGGAGCAGCTCATACGATAGTGGCAGTTCGTACAGCTCCAGCTGGAACTGATGAATTTGGTGTGTTGTTGTTGTTGTTTAGGAGGAACACATTTCATCCAATACATAGTTGCCGCAGTCGCCGTTTACCGGGAGTCGCCGAGTCGCCGACTGTAGCCGTCCCAGCCTGCTTTTGTTCGGCCGAATTATTACATACTGTCGAGTACAACGGAATTTGGTCAGGCGAGATTCAGAGAACGTGACTCACCTTCTCGAGATTCTCTTAGTCATACCTTATATTCTTGGTGGATTCTATTTCTGATTGCGACACATATCGACATATCGACATATCTATATCACTGTTCTGAAACAACTCACTCAGCTCGGTGTATATCAAGTTGTGAGGTGGCGATCCGCCAATTGCCGAGTTTCGCCCTGCAAGAACATTTCCACCAAGCTGTCAAACTATGGCCTGCCAAAGCAATTCTGCACCCACCGAAACCTCCAAGCATGATGTTGGTTGGAGGAGGGTTGTCCGTCATTTCACGCCCTCGTATGATTGCCTGGTCAGAATGGCTTCTGTGAGACGCAACAGCTGACCTGGATCCAGATGGTTCTCCGTCACCATGGGCACCGGAATAGTGTCCATCCTCTTGAACACTCTACCCTACAACGGCCAATGGCTCTACTGGATCTCCGTCGTGATCTTCGCCCTGAACGTCCTGCTCTTCGCGACGGGATGTATTATCACACTTCTCCGCTACACGCTGTACCCGGAGATCTTCTTCGCGATGATCCGACACCCCGTGCAGTCGATGTTCATCGGCACCTTTCCGATGGGCTTCGCAACCATCATCAACATGTTCTGCTTCGTCTGTGTCCCGGCCTGGGGCGAGTGGAGCAGGAACTTTGCATGGGGACTCTGGATCTTTGATGCTGTCTTCTCCGTGATCACGGCATTGTCATTACCTTTTCTGCTGTACGCGAGCCTTCACAACCACCGTATCTTCTTAACACTCACGCTCATTCGCATGTCGACCAGGATGGCTCATGGGAGTGAGACCCAGCTTTCGTCGATGACCGCGGTGTGGCTTCTGCCCATCGTCAGCTGTATCGTTGCCGCGTCGTCCGGGGCCATCGTCGCGGACGTGCTCCCCAACCCCCAGCACGCTCTGTGGACGGTCCTCGTGAGCTACATCCTGTGGGGCATCGGCCTGCCGCTCGCCCTCATGGTCATGGTGATCTACCTCCAACGGCTCACGCTGCACAAACTGCCCCCGAAGGCGGTGATCGTGAGCGTGTTCTTGCCCCTGGGCCCGCTCGGGCAGGGCGGATTCGGGTGAGTGTCTAGGGATTACACGCCCCAAGTCTACCTCGCTTACCAAACTTCCCCTTCAATCTTCCCCGAATCAAGAAATGCTAAACTGAGACCCGTAGCATTATGAAACTCGGTTGCGCAGCGCAGACGATCTTCCCGCAAACCCAGACGCTGGAGGCCGGGTCCGGCTCCGGTGCGGTGTTCTACACAATGGGCTTCCTGGTCGGTCTGATCCTCTGGTCATTCGGACTGGTGTGGCTCTTCCTGGCGATTGCCTCGATTGCACGGTGCCGCAGCTTCCCCTTCAATATCGGGTGGTGGGGGTTTACCTTCCCGCTGGGGGTGTTTGCGACGAGTACCTGTCAGCTGGGGAAGGAGTTGCCGTCGGAGTTTTTTCGGGTGTTGGGCACGGTATGTTTTTTTCTTTCTTTTTTCTTCTTTCTTTCGGATATGTCAGTTTGAGAGTAAAGGCATGCTGATATATGAGGGGGATAGATTCTTTCGGTCTGTGTGGTGGTGTTGTGGGGAGTGGTGGGCGTGGGCACGTTGCAAGGGGTGCTGTCGGGCCGGTTGTTCTTTGCGCCTTGTTTGGCCGACTTGAAGGCGAGGGAGGGGGAGGGGGAGGGGGAGGATGGGTCGAAGAGTGCTTGAGGTTTGTTGGGTTTATATTATGGTGTATCTAAAGGGAAATTTTTGTTGCATGTGGGTTTGTTTGTAAGATATAGTTTGCGCTGCTAATAGGTTTCATGGGTGTTACATAGTAATGAAGATCTTATTTCGAGATGCCAGTATTATTATCGATGGTAACTCGATCCATGCTGCGGCCACGCCCGCCGAACAGCCTCACAGAAACAGTACAGGGACAAACCGCATGGATGGGCGAATTAAGCTTAAATGTTTAGATCGAACTTTGATGGGCAGGCGGACTATGGGGTCCCTGTTCTGATATTTTTTTAAAGTTGGTTAATTATTTTTGGGGGGTGACAGATTTATGAATTTTCTGGGGGGATTTTATTACTATTTTTTGGGGGGGTTATTTTGAATATTTATTTAATTCAGGTTCCCCTTTCCCTGCGGGAACCAGATTATAGTGTTTTGGTAGTAATGCTCGGGAGTTCGGGACCCAGGTCGGAGACGGACGCTAGCACTTTCAGTTCACGTCACTGCAATGGCAAGTATCCTTAACCCAGATTGTCGGCTTCGACATGGTACTCCCTACATATGTTGATATCGAGATGTAACTATACGAGTAAGTCGAAGATGCCAGCCATCCTTGTCGTCATCGCGATTTGTGCCCGACCAGTCCAAGCCCGACACGAAGCCCGGCCTGTGACTGGCCAGCCTGGCGGCTGGTCACGTGCCGATCCACTCCCCCCAAACAAAACCGCCGTCTCCCAAAAAAAAAAATTACTGAAAATCCCAGATTTCCCCAGAGAGACGAAGATAACAAAATAATATAAAAGAGGGAAAATCAGAAAATTAAAAATTAAAAAATTTAATAAAATAAAAAAAGGGACGGAGTTCCATCCACCACCCCCCAAACAAATCATCGCGCGCGACCATCTCCAGACTTCGCGATCCATTCCAAGATCCCCAAGTATCTCTATCTCGATTGATTGATCGCTTGCTTGCTTGCTTGCTTGAAGAGTGGTTTGGGATCACGATTATCTCTTGTGGTGAGTGCAGAGTCGAGAAAATCTCTGTTCTCATCATTATCATTATTATTGTCTGTGGGAGAGAGAGACCGACTGTTCACACCTTGCATTCAGCTTGTTGGGAATTCCTCTTTTTCCCTCCAAGCTTTCCCCCTTTTTTTTTTTTTTTTTTCCCTTTCTTTTTCCCCCTTCCCAACCAAGTGCGCGGCTGGTCTTTGTGGACCAACCGTAGTTTCCCGGGGGAGCGAAAAGGCCGTTGTTGTCATTACTATTAGCCTTACTAGCAAGCAGCCTGCCTCAGCTGCTCTGCTTGCCTACTTGCCTACTTGCCTACTTGCCTACTTGCCTGCTTTACCTGCTTGCTTGCTTGGTACTGACCGTACAGTACCAGCAGCCCTTCTTCTACTAGTAGCCTGACAGCACTGTGGCAGCCTGAGGCCATTTTCCGCCTGTCGCTTCCGGATTGGGGATCGAGCCGGGATCGTTGCTTATTCCGCATTTAATTGTTATCGTCACAGCGGCCGCTTTTCTCATTTTCCATTTTCCCAGCCCGAAGGGAAAAAAAAAAAAAAAAAGGAAGAGAGTTGCAGACGCGCCCCCGTGCGCGTGTCTGTCGTCAACTGTTCCGATCCTGTATTGCGGTTACTGCTCAGGTTCGTCTGTCTATCTCTCTCTGCCTACTCTTTCTCTCTCTCTCTCTCTCTCTGTGTGTGTCATCGGGCTTCCGACCTTCCACCATCTTCGTTGTTAAGAGAAGAGCTGGTGGAGTTTTGGTCTGGAATTGGCTTTCTCGCCACCCCTCCAGGGCCCCCCCCTCCTCTGCCCCCGGTGTGTGAAGGGTGAGGTCAGTCCGTCCCGTCCAAGTCAAGTCACTCTCCATCACGGCACGTACAGTACGTACTCGTACTCACTCATACCCCCAAAGTCACCCACTCCGCCTTGGTCAGCAAACACCACCACCACCACCACCACCACCACCATCACCGCCCGCCCGACCGCCCCGTAACCGTGTCGCTTCCTGCCGACGCGGTAGTCACATGTTCTTCGCCTCCCCCCGAGTATTATCACTCTGCTTGATTTGATATCAACATATCAACATAACCACACTTATCCTATTTCAAAAAAAAGAAAAAATAGCCACGCAATTGTCTTCGGGTGGGATTATTGTCTAGTACATTCCCCCGAAGATGATGGGCTACAATGGTCTTCCGTTCCATCAGCAACGGGCGCCCCAGCAGAATGCGCATCCTCAGCATCATCATCCTCAACATCCACAACAGCAGCAACAACCACATCCTCACCACCACCAGCTGCAGTCCCCGTCCATGAATGCGGCCACCGCCACCCATCCTCACCATGGCGCCGGACTAACCAGCAATAGCTCTCTGCTTCGCGCCCATACGCAGACCGAATTGGCCGCTCATTCCCCGGATCCCCGCAAAATGACCCCGGCCTCATCCAGCCCGCTTGTCGGCCTCAACACGGCGGGCCATTTCAACTCCTTCCCAGGGCATTTCACTCCTCAGGGCTCGTCCGATCTGCTGTCCCGGAATGCCGATTCGGTCGGCCAATTGAAGGATCCCTACCTGTCCTTGCAGAGTCTTCAGCGAAACATGAACCCCATGGCCAATTATCGCTCCCATGCCATGAATGCGCAGGCGGCCATGTCGCCCCATGCGCACACCATGGGTATCGCGTCCCCTCAGCAATCTCTCGAGCGGCTCCAGCAGCAACATCTGCAGCAGCAGCGCCAGAGCGCCCATTCGCTTCCCAATGCGCAAACGCCCACTCCCGCGGCCGCGTCGCCCATGCTCGGGGCCGGCCAAGCCACGCATCAATTCCACCAATCGCCTTTTCAGCAGACTCAGCAGGCATCTCCGTACCAGTCTCAGGCTCAGCAGCTGCCTCAGTTCCATGCGCAGTATCAGCAGTCTCCGCACCAGGCCTCTCCTTATCAGACCCAGGCCCAGCAGTCGCCCTATCAGCAGCATGCCCAGCAGACGTTCCAGCAGCAACAGCAGGCCCAGCAGGAAGCTCATCTGAAAGCGCAGCAGGAGGCTCAGCGACAGGCCCAGGCCGAAGCTCAACGCCAGGCTCAATTGGAGGCTCAACGCAAGGCACAGGAAGAGGCTCAACTGAAATTGCAAGAGCAGCGGAGGCAGGAGGCTCTAAAAGCGCAGCAGGAAGCCCAGCGCAAGGCCCAGGAAGAAGCTCAATTAAAAGCCCAGCAAGAAGCCCAGCAGCGCAAAGAAGCTCAACTCAAGGCCCAGCAAGAGGCCCAGCGCAAGGCCCAGCAGGAACAACTGAAGGCCCAGCAGGAACAACTCAAGGCCCAGCAAGAAGCGCAATTGAAGGCCCAACAAGAAGCTCAGCAGCGGAAAGCTCAGCAGGAAGCTCAACTCAAGGCCCAGCAAGAAGCCGCTCAACGGCAGCAGCAGGCTCAGCAACAGCAACAAACGCAAGAGACTTATCAGCAACAGCAGCAGGCCCGGTTTCACCAACAACATGCTCAGCGATCTCCTTTCCAATCCCAACCGCAACAGCTCCAGTTCCATCATTATCAACATCATTATCAACAACCGCAGCAGCACCAACCGCAGCAGCCACAGCACCAGCAACAGCACAATCTCATGCATCAGCAACCGCAGCAGCAACACCAGTTCATCCAGCACCATCAAATACAACCCCAAGCTCGTCACCCGCAGGCTCAGCCCCAGGCTCAGACTCCGACCCAGTCGCAGACCCAACCCCAGGCCCAGTCACAAGCCCCACCTCAGGCCCACCCGCAAACCCAGCCTCAGACTCAAGCTCAGACTCAATCCCAGCAGCAGCGTCCGCCACAGTCATCCACCTCCACTGCGGAGAAGAAGACTGCACCTAGTAAACCACGGAAGAAACAGGCCAAGCCCGCTGCATCGCCAGTGCCCGCTGGGGTGCACATCAATGGGCAGTTCCATCCCGTTTTCCAAGCTCAACTGGGGCCTTCGAGCCAACAACAGCCTGGTGCTGGCAGCCCTGCCAAACCCCCTGCCACGGCCCCCGTTGGTGTTGCACCTGCTTCGGCTACTGCCACTACTGCCGGCTCCGCGCAAGGTGCTGCTGCTCATAGCGCTGTCCCCGGGGCTACTGCGGGGTCTGTTCCTGGTGCTGTGCCTAATGCCATTCCCGGGTCTGTCGCGGGAGCCCCTCCTGGCTCCCAAGGTGATGGTCAGACTCCTAAAAAGAGAGGTCGTCCTCGCAAACCGCTCGCTCCTGGAGAGGTGCCTAAACCTCGCAAGCCGAAAAAGCCCAAGAAGCCGCAGGAGACTACCACGATCATGGGTGCTGATGGTGTGCCCATCACGGTTCCCCTTCCTCCCCCACCCCCAGCCCTTGGCCCTGATGGAAATCCCCTGCCGCCACCCCCTCCCAAGAAGAAGCGACCAAAGCTACCTCCGCTGCCTCCGATCGTCTTGCCTGATGGGACCATCATTCCACAAAAGCGCGGTCGTGGACGGCCACGTAAGACGGAGGTGAGCGGCGATCAGCCCCCGAAGCCTCGGCCGCCTAAAAAGCCCTCGACCAAACCGGGTACGGGACGTCCTCGCGGGCGGCCCCGAAAGGCGGATGTGTTGGCACGAAAGGCAGCAGAAGAGGCGGAAGCGCAAGCGAAAGCCCTAGCCGAGGGGGTCAACCCTGATCAGACTCCAGGAGATTCGACACAGATTAAGCAGGAACAGCCACATCAGCAACCCCAGCGGCCGCAACAGCATACGCCGTTGATGCAAGTTCAACCCCAACAGCCTCAGCAACAACAGCAACAGGTGCAAGCGCAGCAGCCACATCAACAACCGCAACAGACTCGGCCTCAATCTCACCAGGCGCTGCAACAGCAGACTCAACAGCATCCTCACCTTCACCAGCAACAGGTTCAACAGCATGCTCATCTCCACCAGCAACAGCAGCAACAAGCTCAACAAGCTCAGCATGTCCAACACCAGGCTCAACATCCTCACCAACAGCAGCATGCTCAGCAGCAGGCCCAGGCCCAAGCACAGCAACAGGTCCGCCAGCAGCCACAAGCTCAGCAGCAGGCTCAACCCAAGCCGCAAGCTCAGGGTCATGCAAAGTCCCAGCCTCAACATCAGCACTTGCATCAGTTCCAGCTACAACAACCTCCTGCACATCATCAACAGGCTCAAAATGCCGTGCAGCCTCAGTTCCAAATACACCAGATGCAGGTCAAGCCTCAACCTCATCTCCAGGCCCATCAGATTCAATCTCCGCATATGCAGGCTCATCAGTTGCAGTCTCCGCACATGCAGAGCCACCCGATGCAAGCTCCACACCAGCCTCATGCTCCTGCTCATACACAAACCCTCCCACAACAGCTGCAACCGCAGCAGCAACAGGTGCATCAGGTGCATCAACAAGCCTCTCGTCCCATGCAATTGCAACCACAAGCACATTTGCAACCCCATCTTCCCCAGGCGCATCAACTGCAAGCGCATCAGATGCAAGCCCAGGCACAAACACATCCGCATGCACATGCCCATGCTCATCAGCACCCGCACTTCAACCTTCATCCTCAGCTTCACCCTCATGTCCAGCCTCAAACCACCGATTCAATGACCCTCAATCCGTCTCAGAAGCGTAGCGCGCCTGTGGACGATGATCCCCGAAAACGTGCTTTTATCATGCCTCAGCAAATGTAACGGCGCCTTCATCGATATTCTTATGCACTCCCCCTAACGTCCGCCCGGTTTTTATCTGTTATTATTTAATCACCCACCACCCCACACTGAACTTTTTGGGATGTATCCTCAGCGTTGTATTCACTTGTGTTTCTGCCTAGTATTATAGTGGTCTGTTGGCCTTGTTTCTGTCCATGATGACATAGCAATCAACATCTCGACCCCGTCTTACATATGAAGCCTATCGGGGTCCGCGTTCGGTTTTACTGGTCTTGTTCGCTGTTGATCTGCGCCTTTAGCCTGCTTCGGTGTCTATTAGCATAGCATAGCATAGCAGACATAACCAATGAAGTATATATGATTTCGTCCGGTCGGGTTCTTTACAATTGCATCACTTGAACTTTGGGTTCTGTTACTTAAGCTGGGTCTTGTCTTTCGACGGCCTTTGCGCCTGCGGATTGTGACTTGAATCAAACGAAGATACACCCAGATGCAATCACCTCCATTACCTGGGCTCCTCCCAAGGAGCCCAGAACATTACCTCGGCGTCCGTTCCAGACACAAGAGCAATACAATGTGAATTGAGCTGAGAGACATGGAGATATCGAGGGGGGGAGAGCGAAAGGGGACATACAATCAATCCTCCCGCACCATCCAAAGTACAGTACAGTACATACCGAGCGTGTGAAGTTAGTAGAGCGACCTACCACTTCGGGAAGGACCCAGCCAGCCCTTCCCTTCCCTTCCCTTCCCTTCCCTTCCCTTACCTAGTTGGAAACGATCCGAGGTATACTGAAGATAAACCTTTCCGCTACCTGCATACAGCTAGCTACCCTTGCATCACCACCATAATACCTCTTTTCCTAAAGAGCTGCAACAACAAGCCCGGGTGGTCTAGTGGTATGATTCTCGCTTAGGGATTTCCAAAACCCCAAGCATATCTGCGAGAGGTCCCGCGTTCGATCCGCGGCTCGGGCCTTGTCCTTTTCTTTTCCTTTTTTTCTGCTTTGGTTGATTGGGTGGGCTGGGTTGGTTGTTGGGGGGTTTTGGTGGCGGTGGTGTGTGGTGGTTTGTTTAATATGTTTTGTTTGGTCTATGATGCTGGTTTCTTGTGCCTTTTGGGAATAAATGAATGGGGAGGGAGGGAGGGGGGGTGTGACTTGCTTGGATTGAATGAATACTCCAATCCAAGTAAGTATCTAGCTAGATCTTATCACGGACGGAGAAATACAGAGAGCTCGCTCCCGCCAGGGTGGAGAATGAAAGAAAGGCCCCGCGATTCACAGAAAAACATCACACCAAGCAAGCGATCGATCGGATGGAGTATTTTTTTTTTTTTTGGTCTCCACCACCGTTTACTCGAATTGGATTGGATCGGTACGCAGGAAGGAGTACCGGTACACGCCACTGGTATTGTATTGCACAGTCTATATATATACCATACCTAGCTCCTGCCAACAGGAAAACAACTGAGCCAGCCAGACGGGTGAAGAACAGGCTTGGTCAAGATCGGCCCCAGTTAAGGGTACAGACGGTGCGACAAATTGCGCTGGAGGGACAGATTGATCGAGCTGGGCCGTTGATTCCAACGAAACTCAGAAACAAACAAGGATTCAAGCAGGGTGAGCCGAAAATAATATACAAAAACCGAATAGAAACAGAAGAACGGAAGAGTGACAAGAACACAACAGTAAGAAAGAAATCAGTACGCCTCGCTCTGGAATGACAGACACCATTTCGCTTGCTTGGCTTTAGAATAAACTCCGCGCGTAAACTTGATCAACAACATATATATATATATATATATATCTACATAATAGTACTTCGATGGTGTCGTATTCACAGCATTTGTTCCATCTGGCCGTCGATTTGACCGTCGACATCAAGGGCTGGAGGTTCCTCGTCGATCTGCATGGCGGTTGATTCGTAGTCCTCCGCGTCGTTCTGGGCAAAAGTTTCCTCATTATTCCGCGCGAAAGTGTCCTCATCCTTCTGGACGAAAGTGTCCTCATCCTTTTGCGAAAAAATGTCCTCATCCACAGGAAGGTCTCTCCCGTCCGGGATATCACTAATATCGATCCCAATGCTCGGGGCGATCCGCTGCACAACGCTGTGGCACTGCCGGAACGCGCGCCGCGCGGCGGTGTGGGTGAACGACAGGTGGTGGAGCCAACGGAGGGCCTTCTTCATCTGGTGGGTCATGGTGTGGATGTCGGCGAGCGCCGTGGGCGGTTGGTGGTTGGGGGTGGTGCTGGTGGTGGTGGTGTCGACGTACTCCTCGCCGCCGGTGGACGGGACCACGGGCGGGCTGCACGACAGGTGGAGGAGCAGCCCGGTCGTGGCCTGCATGATGTAGTGCAGGATGCACCACCAGGGGGTGACCGAGATCAGCCACGGCAGGTCCGGGGTGTCCGGCAGGACGGACAGCAGCGAGCAGGCGGAGCGGACGCAGTTGCGGGCCATCTCGTTGCGGAACTGGCTCCGTGTAGAGGAGTTGTGGGAGGCGTTTTGGCCCGAGGATGAGGCATGCGTCGGGTTGGGGGACATCGACCCGGATTTGAGGCCGGACCGCGTGAGACAGGGCCGCGAGAGTGTGATGCGAGCGCTGTAATAGCTGATGGCGAGCGATGTCCGTTCGCGCTCGTGGGATTTTTGCAGGTGTGGGGGGATATAGAACGTATCGTCCTGGTCGCTCACGGTGAACCGGTACGGCGCCGGGACTTTCATGAGCCAGACTTTCAGGGTGTTGTCATATTTGCGAATGCGCTGTTCCACCTGGCTGGCGCGGTCGCGCAAGCCCTGGATGCTATAGACTCTGTTGATGATCGCCTGCGTGATGCTGCAGAGGTCCACAAGGAGGTGGAAGAAGAGGGACGGACTGGGCGCACAGGTTGCGAGCCACGAGGCCGTGGTGGTAGCTTCGAGCTCGTTCTGAAGGATGGTGAGCTTGAGACGGCTCATCCGCAGAGCCGGGTCTTCTAGAACGGGCCGAACCTCTGGGCTGTTCCAGGCCTCCTCCTCGAATGGAATGGGCAGTGGTGTCGCACTGAGGCCCTCCCCAACGCAGGAGACTCGGCCGGTGATGGCCGTCAAGAGATGCTCGAGGAGATAGATCGACCACCACAGACGGCAGCGAGCCTCTTTGGCAGCCCGCGACGTATCACTATTCTCCAGGCGGAGGTTTATACCCAGTGAAACGGCCGACCGAAAGGCCATGCTCGAAAACTTGAAGGACCTGGAGTGGCTTCGTCAGTACTAAGAATTCGCCTCCGGGACGCAGGGCTGGAACATACCGGTTGACCTGACACATGGAAAGGAAGTAGAACGCCACCAAGAACTCCGCCTGGATCTGCTGGAGATTGGCATGCTCGAAGATGACATTCTCGCCCAGGGTCAGCTTCCGTGCTCGGTTCAGATACTTCACATCATCGTAGTCACCTCCTTTCTTCCCATACACCGACTGGCAGAAGCGGCTCCCGATGGCGAAGATCATGTTCAGGACGGCTCGCCACCGGTCACCCGGCTCAATCTGCCGATTGCCCTGAATGACGAATTGCGAATACTGGGAGACAAAGAACACTTTGCTGATCACATTGAAGGACGGATGCACACTCTCCATGTAGAACCGGAAGAGGCGGTTGGCGACGTCCTTGGGCGGAAGCGCGTACGGGTCGACATCCGCCATGACGGGGATGTCGAGGTCATCCAGGTAGTAATTCAGGGCGGCAATGGGCGTCTCCTGCTTCTGGGCTGGCTGCGGGACCAGCAGGAGCTGCTGCATCTGCTGCTGCCCGTCCGACGCACTGTTGTTGCTGTCCACCTCGTTGAGCTCCTCCATCTGTTGTTTGCGCAGCTCGGCCTCGTCCTCCAGCTTCTGCAACCAGGACACCTCCGAATTCTTCCCAAAGAATCCTGTCGCGACGGCCCGGTCACTGCGGTTCAGATCCTCCTCCACCCTATCCAACTCATTGAGCGAGCCAATGGACGAGGAATCCGACTCAGACCCCTCGTTCTCATTCGGCGGCGGTTCTTCTGGCGTGGTCCCATCGGAGACTCGTAGCTACTGCACCTTTAGCATGCCGCATCTGACCGAAAGTGACCCTCACCCGAGACTCAAGGAACAAGCGAAGACTTACCCTCAACGCCCTCCGGATCCTCCTCGCCGTGTCTTCGTCCGTGGTGCGTTCCACCTCCTGCAACAGCTGCTCATAGATCCCCACCTTACTGGTCAACGAGCACAGTTTCTTCTGGTCCCGCACCCGCTTCACTTCCACATAAGTACAGGTCACGTTGTGATCGGCACACTGTTGACAGACAGGCTTGTCCCCCTCGCACTTGATCTTCCGCAAGCGACAGGGTTCACATGCCCGCGTGGATCGACGGCGCTGGGTCTGGCTGTTGAAGCTGGTGGTGCGGGGGATAGCCACCTTGCCGGCCAGTCTGGACGGGCCGGCGAAGGCGATGTCATGGGACGAGGAGGAGGAGGATTGGTGACGAGCTATGGGACGGTTGCGGGAGCGGGATTGCTCCTGCTGGTGCTGGTGCTCCGAGCGATCGCGCTTGGGCTGTCGAGAGGCAGTGCTGGTGATAGTGGTCGTAGTCGGGAGGAGGGGCGGTGGGAGAGGCAAAGCGTGCGAGGGGGCTGGGAAGTTCGCGGCATGAGTAGCAGTTGCAGGTTGCAAGCCCGGGGGCAAGGCGGAATTGCTTCTGATTTCCCACGACCAGTCGGAGCTCCCACTCCGACTGCTGAGGAAGCCCCCTGCTGCTCCTCCTCCGGCACCGCCAACACCGCTGCTGCCGCTGCGGCTGGGGGTGTTGGTATAGGTGGTGGTGGCAGTGGTGTTGTCAGTGCGCGACTCGGAATCATTGACGGATGAAAAACCGAGGGAGAATGAGCTTGACGAGTCGTCCATGATGCTGCTGCTGCTGCTGCGGAATTAAGTCGGGGGCAGAAGGAGTATAACCCATTTGAGAAATTGCATGCAATTGGGGGAGAGGAGATGATAGAAGGGGGGGCAAAATAGCAAGTGGCGCAAGCTTCAAGGTAGGTTGATTGAGGGAGGGATTTGGGAGTTTGGGGGTGAGTGGGTGAATAAAGTGTGGTGTGAAGTGACAGCGCGCGCGCGAGAGAGAGAGACAGAGAGAGAGAGAGGCACTGGAATAGATGGAATGGATGGAATGTGAACGTGGAAAGTTTATGGCGGATGATGTCATTGCCAAAACTCAACTCCAAAACCTACCAAACTCTCCAATCATGGATGGACGGTATTTGGTATTTACCTGTATGTACCAAAGCTCGCGGAAGCCACTAAAACGCTGATCTACATCTCTTCAATCATGCAATCATGTTGAGGTAGTTGTTCGATCGTCGGGCGAGTATTGTTGGCCTTGAATACCATTGTCTATCACTTGGCGACATGCATGGAAGAGTGGCAATTGATGGGATCAAATTTATCCAGAGCAGGGATTATGGCAGCTGCAAATAAAAAGTCCGAATTGCTTAAATTCTCCTTCTACTTCAAGCCATTCTCATTGCATTCATTCATTGAAGTCTTTCAAGGCAAACTCCACAGAGCTCTGTGGTCAAAAACACACTAACAAAACGGGGTATTTTGATTTTATCACTCAAGGGGGGGGGGTATCAGCATCGTCCTCAAACATCGACAAAAACAACAACAAAAGTCCCATTCATTTCCGTCTCCGGTGGGAAGCTATATCATCTTTGCCCAGGCTCAAGCTCTCATACCGGTCCAGCATCTCAAAAAGACTGTGCTCCCCCTCCATGAGCCCACGATACCGTTCATCCGTCTTAAGCTTATCTAGCCCCTTGGCGTATTCATCCCACTGGGAGGGCGACGTGGACTCTGCGTCAAACAGCGCCTTGAGCTCATCCGAAACGAGGTTCGATCCCCGCAGGTGCTGGCCTTGACCCCGGGCGCGCACCGTCTGTCGGAACATGTGGAACAGACTTCGACCCAATGGAGAGCGACTAGCGATGCTGGAGAAGGAGCTGGCCAAGGAGAGAAAGTCCTGATCCAGAATATCAAAGGACTCGGGATCGAGCAACGTGAACAGGGCCAGGTTGATCGCGTACATGGCAAAGTGATGCGCGCGGCTGATCCCGTATTCGCGTCGATGGAGGAGCGTCAGCGCAGAGATGGCACGTGCGGCCGACTGCACAATACTGGGGGCATTGTATTTCAGGGGCGGACTGCAGCCGGGTGGACTTTCCGGCGTCTGAGGGGCTTCGGAGCCAGGACTGCGTTCAGTCCCTCTGGTGTTGTGGGAGAATAGACTGATGACCAATGTATGGTAGCGCATTCTGCGAATGTCGTCAGCGAGAGGTCATTACGCGCGCATCGGACTTTGCAAGCACACCTCAACAATATGATACAAGGCGGTGGTTTACGGCATGGCTCAAACACATCCGGCAACGTTGCGTACCAACCACGAAGCCTTTCGAAGAGTCGTTCTTTGGTCCTATGCTGATGCTCAATAGATATCACGCTCCCGTCGAGTGAGAAAAGTGTTTGAGAGATATCTCTAGCGATTTCGCAGAGATCACACGAGTGATCGAAGTACTGGCTCAGATAGGAGGCCCGGGCAGGCCGGTGAGAAGGGTATGGCACCCACAGGTCCGAATCCTCTTGGTGATGTTGGTCCGGTCGCTGGAAGTTGACTTGGTCTATCAAGCTGGGGCGCAAGAACTCGGCATGCACAACCCTAAGAAGACAGCTCAGACCTCAGAATGTCAGCGGCAAACCGGAGTGGAACGACTCACGTGTCGATATGAAACAGGCCCCAGGCCGATCGCTTGACCGAAATCTCCAGATCGTTGGGTAATTGCCCTGGGATGAGACTCGGGCTCCTCGGGCCGACCAACCCTAGGGAATGACCAGTCTGAATGGCTTGGTGGAGCATGCGATACCCAAGATCATCCTTGCCCGACATCGAATACCTCGAGCATCGGTTACGCGTTGAGTTTGATAGTGGCCGATCAACCAACTCACCTCTCGTATAGCAAGAGTGTGCCTTGCAAGTAAGCCAGGCTCAACTTCATAGGTTCCTCATCCTTCAAACGTTCCGCTTCTGCCAGGAAATCGACGCCCTTGGTCACAACATCGCCCGGATCAACGTATGCCTCGGAGTAGTCCGAGAAGTGCTGTATAGTTCCCTCAGTCAGTCTGCGATCGTAAGCTATCCGAGACGCGCGATTGTTCAGCATTGATATTCCATCTTAGGTATTGTCCAAAGAGTCGACCACTAGAGGTAGAAAGAAAGAAGGGAACCGAGAAAGATGAAAGTGAGAAACTTACACATGCATTCGTGAGCAGAGCGTTCACCAGGAATGGGCTGCAGAACTCCGAATGGGGATTGGCTCGTCGCATATGCTCGAGGAAGACCTCGCGGTCGAGGAAGGCATGAAATGGATAGTCCCAGGTGAAATACAAGGACACCAAATGTGAGACGAGGTCTGCATCCTCAGTCACTGTTGTCCATGGTCTGGCGGGGACGCGGTACGGCACCTCGTCACAAAGATAATGTATATCCATCACCTTGGGCCGAAAAGAAGGCCCAGCCCCCTCCACGTCGATCACGCGGCGGATCTCCTCCAGCTTGCACCCGGCCTCCTCCCCTACCTTGCTTTCTCCACCATCCTGGCCCAGGATCTCGTCAATGAACGCACGGATCTCCTCGGCCGAGGCATCATTCCGGATGATCTCCAGCAGCTTCAACCCGTAGGATTGATCCTCAGCGCGCATCACCTTCAGCAGGTCATTCAGCATGTCCCGATGGTAGCTCAGCTCATCGGCGGTGCGTTTGGCCGCCACTCTCCGTCGCTGGTCCAAGGTCTCATCGAAAATACACTGTCGGTTGAAGGCCCGGCAATTATCACACGGCGGCACTCCAGAGCACTGTCAAAGGTCGTGTTCTATGTCAACAACGGCTCCTTGTCGTGACGGTTGGGTTGGGGGGGGGAAGGCGTGGCGAGCAGCTGCTACATTTTGCTGATGGGGTGATAACATTTATTCAACCGACACAACACATAGAGGCAGTAGCACGCGCAGTTGGGGGACTCGCCTTTCGTTTCGACTTCTTGCAGGCCAGACATGCCATTGACACTCGTTTCTTGGAGCCATCGCTTGGGGTCGGAAAAGTCCTATCTGGCGAGCTCTCCCGCGACGGATGCTTCTCTGATTTGCTAGGTGAAGGCCCGGGAGCAATCTGGCGGTGTTGGCTGCCGAATTCACTCATCGTGCCCAGAATGAGTCTATTGGTGGTGATGGTGGTGTTGAGGATGCGGTGCGTTGCGGTGCGGTGCGGTACTGTACATGCAATGCAGATCTGGTCGGGTCGGGGCACGCGGAGTCGAGAAAGGAACGCGAGCGACCAAAGAGCTGCCTACCCTGTCAGAAAATTTCTTTCTTTGCTAAACATGCTGTAACTTCCAGTTGACCTGGTAGTGACGTACAACTTCAAGGTACCACCTACGTTAGAGGCGTCAGGAAATCTCGTCCGAAGCATCAGGTCGGGCGGGGGAGAATCATAGCCGATGATGCATGGCTGCAACATGCCAATCACCATGGTACATCTGGGAGGAGTATCCGCTTCGAGATGGAGGTGACGACGATGTCTGCTGTGGTTCTGCTGTGGTTCTGCTGTCCGTCGAGCAAGTTGATTGCAGCTTGAACCGTCCGGAGAAAATGTCCAAGACCAACGGGAGGTGGAAGACAGTCCCGGATGGGCCAAGTCGGACAATCACATGTCAAGTCGAGACCAGCCAAAAGAGCCAAAAAGAGCCCAACTCATGCTCATACTTGAAAGAAGCCTACAAAAAACAAGGATGGGATCGGAGGTACGAACTTTATTTTCGGAAAACGGAAAAAAGGAAAAAGGCAAACCGGAATCGGCTGAAGAAGGAAAGAAAGAAAGAAAGATGGATATTACGTACGGTGATATCTCCTACCTACTAGGGAACTAAACCCGGTCCACAATCGGCACTTTTCTCCTGGGAATGCCACCTTGGACCCAGCAAGCTGGCCGCGCAGGAGTGAGGACGTCCGAATGCTTTCCTATTAAACAACATTAAATAACAAGGGGGACATGCAGACCGCAGGCAGAAAGGGGAGGAGAAAAGAAGAGAGAGCAGGTCGCTGGATAACTAAACTAGAAAGTTCTGCTCCCGCCCCGAAGCCATGGCCGTGGTGGGAAACTACCTGGAAATATGTGAATCACAACATCTTTTCAATCAGAAAAAGGATGATGCAGACAAGAGAACAACACGTTTCCCCCCCCCCGCTGCTAGTATAGACAGATCTATCAGTCCATGCCAATTCCGCCTCTCAGTCCCCAGACCATTGGGGTGAGAACTGAATCTCCAAACGTCAACGAACCATCTAGTGCTCCAGGATACGCAGGCTGCCCTGCACGACGCAGTTCTCGAGCACAGAGCCCGGGGGAACGTCAATGGTGCTGCCCTCAGTGGCAACGATGATGACGGTACCCTTGAGCGTCACATTGCGGCCCAAGTTGACAGCACCGGTGATGGTGAGGTGGTCGAGTTCGACAATGCGAGGGATGCTAGGGATGTGCTTCTGGAAGTCCGAGACCTTCTTGAAGTCGGAGCCAAGCTTGATGACGGGAACGCCACCGAAGCGGTTGGGGTCCATGACCAGCTGGCCGTGCTCCAGGCGGTAGAGGTCGGACTTGACCAACAGGAGGTCAGAGCAGGTCTTGACGGGCAAGAAACGACGGCGAGGAACGTTGACACCGTGAGCGTTCTTGAAGTGGCGGATGGCGGCACCGACGGCGGTCTCCAGCTGGTAGATGGCCTGGTCGGCCTCGCCCTTCTTGTCAGCGGCGATGGACTTCTCATTGGCGATGATCTCCATCTCCAGCTCGTTCTCCTCAACCACGCGCTTGATGGCGCGGAGGTTCATCCAGATGTTGTTGGTGTTGAAGTACTTGAACTTCTTGATCGACTTGAACTCGTTCACGTGCTCCTTGGGCACCTGAGCGATTTCGAGCAGGCGGACCTTGCCCTCGTAGTCAATGATGGTACCACCCTTGACGTCGGCCTTGGTCTTATCGGTCAGCTCCATGATGTACTCAGACTGAGTGTCAACCATGTGCTGCAGGATGCGGAGATCCACGACGGCACCCAAGTTGTCAGCGTTGGACAGGAAGATGTACTCGACACCGCGCTCCAGGAGCTTGTCGAGGGTACCAGAGTTGTACAGAGACTCGAAGACGTCACCGTGTCCGGGAGGGTACCAGTCCTGGAGAGGAGCATCGAAGGACTTGGGAGCGGGGAGGAGGGAGTCCTTGATGATACGGGGGTAACGGGACTGGTTGAAGGTGATGATGTCGACGTTGTGGCCCTGGTACTTCTTGATGATGGACTGGGTGTCCTGGTCGGTGTTGAAGGAGTTCATCAGGACGAAGGGAACGTTGACGTTGAAGGTGCGGTTGAGGTGCTCGATCTGACGGACCGAGAGATCCAGGAAGGACATGCCCTCACGGACCTCAATGACGGACTTGGGGCCAACGCATCCCATGGAGGTACCCAGACCACCGTTGAGCTTGACGACAGCCAGCTTGTTCAGGAACTCGACAGAGGCCTCAGCACCCAGCTCATCGTAGCCAACCACCTGAGAGGGCTGGGGGGGAGCGATGCGGTCCCAATTGACCTCGTTACCCTTGGCCTTGTCGTTGAGGAATCTGCGGAAAAGAGCGAAGAAGTTGTCCATCTCAGCCTCGAAGCGCTTGCGCTCAGCGGCATCGGGAACAGTCTCGGCGAGGGCGTTCAGGGCGTTGCGCATCTGAGAGGCAGCCACGCTGGTGGAGGCATTTTCGAAGGCCTGGGTATCCATGCTTATTAGTAACGAGACGATCTTAACGATGGTGGCAGAAATCCAGGGGGCAAGTGTCCGCCGTCCCATTCGCAGGTAAAGGGACAGAGCAGCTCTTCGCAACAGCCCTAGACCGTGGAAGTTTGTCCAGAAGAGGGCGTGCCAGGCCAGACGAAGGAGGAGACGGTGGGACAGAAGATCCCGTGCCTGACCCGAGGCAATGACACCACAGAGAAGTCCCAGGAGGTCCAAAAGGGAAAATTGATGCGATAAGTTGTAGAGCACAGCAACAAGAAACAACAGAAAAGTGAGACCAAGGCGAAGATTGGCGATGATTTGGCAAATCACGAGCAGCCGCGCGAGGTACAGCGTCTCTAAAAGAGTGAAGACAAACAACAATGGATAACAGCAGGAGGGGCAGGTCAAGGAGAGGCAATCAACGAGGGGGTTCCAGTCAAAAAAGCACCACAAGCCTGAAAAGGTGACTGGTACCAGGCCGGCCGAAATGATGATAGGTACACTTGCAAAGGTTCTGTGGGTGATATTGTAGGCGATAAAAGCAATGGCAACGAAAGGCAAAGCCCAGAAGGCAACGGAGCCGTCAAAATTCGGCATTTGCTCGAAGGGGGTATGGATATGCGATATGATGGTGATGGAGATGAGAACAGCTGTGAGAGAAAGGAAGAAGCAGGGGATCTGGAGTTGTCCACTACCACGCCAGTCGCAGGCTGCTTGGTCTGGCAGGCGCACTCTGTTCGCTGCACTTTCCACCTTGCGAATGGACATGTGGGACGACACCAGGCAAGAGCAGGATAACGAAGAAACAAAGTCGAACTTACCATGTGAGACTGAGACTTTCCGTGGTGCTTGCCAAACGAGCCGGAGCTGGCATCGCTGGCAGGAGCTCTGAGGTGAGTGGGCAAAGCTTTGGAGGCCATTGTGAAGGTAGTGATTTCGGGGAGGATGAAGAGGGAGAGGGAGAGAGAAAGAATGAATGAATGAAGAAGACGAAGTTGTGAGGAAGGTGGGAGCGAGGTGGTGGAGGAGGAGGAGGAGGAGGACGGAAAGCTGCTACTGTGGATCCGCGACAGTTGGTTAGTTTAGGTACCTTAAGGTGTATCAGCAGCAGCTGAAACCGGGAGGTCAAAATGGAGGGGTAGGCTGGAAACTGGAAAAGTGCTGCAAAATGGACCAACGGGTAGTCCTTTTAATGTAGATGGAATCTCGCCACGACGCCTGTTAGGGTGTGTGTCTGTGTGTCTGTGTGTCTGTGTGTGTGTCGATCGAATTGGTAGGTTGGATAAAGGGCTGGTCGATGTCGACAGATTGCCGTCATGGACCCAATCATTGGTGCGACAAGAAACAACCAGCGACCAGGGGAAGAGCGGGGGAATGCGAAGGGAAGAGGGGGAGGTGGTAAGTTACTTACTGTAGAATGGGAGAATGAAGAGGAGGGGGAAGAGGTAGTTAGAGGAGAGATTAGAGATGATGTAGGATCAAGAGCAGAGAGGAAGAGGAGAAAAAACTAAACAGAGTGAACCAGCTTGGATGAGGATGAGAGAGGTTATTTATTTGGGATTCTTTTTTTTTCCCCCTTCCTGTTCCCTCTTGGATACACGATGACGATGTCTTAAGTCTGGCTTTGGGTTATTTATTTTCGGCGGGACAAAGTGGGGGTGGAAGAGGGGGAGAATGGGAGAATTTCCAGGAGAGGCTCTGAGAAGCTATGGATTAGGGATTATGGATACCGAGTCATAACCAATCTTACCCTAATCCACCCTAACCGGTAGTCTCAGGGGCAAGGGGCCCGTGACAATACCTGACAGGCTGATAGGACTTGCGCGCAGCCCAACAAATACCTAGTAATGTTTCTTAACTTCCTTGGTCGGGAGGGGCAGCCAAAGAGGGGCGCTATTCTTAGTACTCCATTCGTTTCTTCCAATTCACCCACTGGTCCAGGCTTTTCTCCTCCTTCCAGTTCAGAATAGCTAAACAGCATTACACGCAGTCAACCACTCACTCAGTCACTCAGTCCAGACAACAATCCGTGACAGGATGATCGGGTCAATCTTCTTCATTCCCACTATGTGCACCTAATCCATCCGATCTCCTTCTCTTCGTCGATCTAGATACGCACAGAATTACCCCTCCTCGTCCAAACCAAACCATCAATTGAATTCCAGGGCACCGCCAGACAGACAGACAGACAGACAGCATTGCAGATGAACAACTGTCATGCAGTCTCTACCAACACATCCACATCCACATCCACAACCTCCCTATCTTCCTCCCGATGAGTACGTACCAGCCAGACATCATCTGACAGCCAGTGAATCTCTTCCATCTCCTTCTAGACCCATCAGTGCAGCCAGCAGTGCTTTGATCACTTTCCTTCCCCCCCCCCCCCCCCCGTCCCCCCTTTTCTCAATTCAGGGTTCAATCTCCCTCCCTACGGAGGCTTGCTTGCGTGCCCCCACCAAAACACCTCGTCAGCAAAACTGGAGTTGAATTTAAATGAGACCAGACCAGCTTGCGTTGCGGTATGTAGGTACGTACGTAGTTGACTACGAGTCTGTCTACGACGGGTGAGTTCTCTCCTGAGGCTATGTCCTTGTCAATCCAGAGGCGACTGACTGCACTGCCCAAATAATGAACTATTGCAGTCAGAACCTCTCACTGCCAACCTCGCATAAAACAATGTACAGTAGTATATAGATCCTGGCAATCATCTTCTCGGCCAGAGCTCGGAGCTCCCAGGCCTAGAGAGAAAGTTATGAACCACCCAACCATTGATGGTTGATGATTGATCAAGTCTCACTCTCAAATCAATAGATCCCTCCACAACCACACATATCAATCCAAACTTCTAGTAATAAACACCCTCTCGGTCTCCCCCGAAGATGTACAATACACAACAAAACAAGAATGAATTCTACGGCAACGAGAGAGAAAGAGAACCTCAAGCCTCTCGGTTTAATTTCCCGTGACGTCTCCTATTTCTCCTGCCACAAAAGCTGCTCAGCTCTAGCTACTCCGTACTATCTCGGAGTAACCCCCTCTCCTTCTCCCCCCCTCCTCTCCCCGGCACAACCGCAGTAAAGTTACAATTCCCTTCCCAACCAACTGCAACTAACAACTACTTCCAAGCAGAAAGTAAAATGATAACTCCGTACTCCGCGGAACAACCACCACCCCAACATACACTTCCGAGTTAAAATAAACCCACCCTCGACCTGAACTTCTCCAGTTAGGTCGGAGTACAGAGTAAAACCATCCCGACTAACCATAAGCCAAAACTTACTACTTCATGTATGCGAACAATTCGAATGAACTACTGGAAAAAAAAAAAAAAAAAAACCCTCCCCCAAAGAAAGGGATGAAGTACAATTCATTTACCCCCTTTACGCAACCCGGCTAAACCAAACTAATGTATGTCAGTCCGAAACACGATACGAACCACCGTGCTCTCTCTCGCGCCCGCCGCCACCCGTTGCCTTGAGGAGATACGTAGTTCAGTGACAGCTGGCACTGGCACTGGCACTGGCACTCCACGTTGGGCGCCACCTCCCTTGCTCTATACTGGTATATTACATACTTATTACCCACCATCGATGCATTTCATAAGGTATGGCTTAAAGGCGTGATCGGCCTGGAAGACTCCTCGCCCTAAGGAGCAAGCAATTCATCAAACTGAAAGAAAATACAAGCACTGTCCCTCGTTGACTAGTGTACAGAGTAGTCATCGAACTAGCCAGGAAAGTCTAGAAAGAACCTCTGCTGCCCCTGTAAAGTGGATTGATGAATGCCCCACTTGGTCGACAATGGCGGACGGTTATCGTCCGGCGCCATCGAATCTCTCCCTAGAGTCCCTACAGAAAATCATCGACATGGTAAAAAAAACACTTCCTAACAATGAGAATACACAACCCGATATAGAACTAGAAATATAGAATATATACAAGCAAAACATAGCAAAATAGCAAAGCGTCTGATCCAGCCGCCCCGAGTATTCTCATTATCCAAACGCTACGCTAACTGGGCAAAAGCACCCCAAGGATAGGTATCACATCTTCGTCCATCTTGACCCAAATGCAAAAAGGAAATCGCGAGACAAGATAAAGAGCAAAGCAAGATAGTATATGAAAGAAGAGAGAAAAACGAAGAAATAGTTCAGGTCGTTAGTTAAGCAATAGCAACACATAGCAAGAAACCCCCCATCAAGCTCCGCTGACGTTCCGCTTGCTGAGGAAGCTGCGTCGACCGGCCTTCTTGGAATCAGGGCTGTCCATCACCTCCGACGCCGCATCGTTCGTGTTGGAGTGAGCAGTGCCGGGCCGAAGAGTGGATTCCGTCACCGCAAAACTGCTCCGGAGGGTAACCGTGCCACTGCCCGCCTTGACCGACTTGTCTTGTCCGGCAACAGATCCCTGATCGTCGACGAAGAAGATCCCTTCTCCCAGCACCGTGTCCGACCCAAAAGTGGCATGGTCAACCACCCGCACCTGGTACTGCGCATCAGCCGTGGTATTATGCACCCGACAGGTCTCATGCGACGGGTCATAGAACACAGGTCCACCACCCGTCTTGTGAGCCTTGGTCTTCAGAACATCTTTGGCGCCCTTGGGGCCAACCGCCTTGATAAACACTCGCACGTGTGCGTTGGGCGGGTACCCGCTAGCAGAAACCACCGAGATGGTGGCCGTGCCAGCCTCGCCCTTGCCATTCACCCCAAGTCGATCCCCATAGTGAGAGGCGACGCTGCGGCTGCGCGCGTGCTGCAGTTCGTTCTTCGGGGTGGAGCTAGGCGGCGTCTCGCCCTCCACCAGAACAGCGGCCGGCGCGAGGCTACTTTCGGCCGCGGGGGCTTCTTCGGCCTCTTCCGCAACCTCGTCTTCCGCGCGGAATCGTGACATGAGACCATGCTTCAAGAAAGACGCACCCTTGATCACATTGCCACCCACGAATCCCACACCCTTGACGGGGGCGCCGACAATCTTGCCGGGGGTAGCGAATGTGCCGTGGAAAGTCGATGACCCTTGTCGAGACCGGACCACATAGGCCGGCTTGAACAGCAGCTTCAACCGAATAGCACCGGACTTGCCATCGAGGGGGTATGTCACTTCTTTGCTCTGGAACGGTTCCAAGATCTGAAGATCAATCGGTGTGCCGCCCAGGTAATCGGCCTTGTCGCCGAAGTCCCAGTCGTACACATCGACGCGGAAAGACGCTCCAAGGCGGGACTTGACAGGGGCCTCAAAGAATTCATTCCACGCCGGGTGGAGGGTCTTCTTCTGCACCTTGGTCTTGTACACCATTTCATCATTGAGGCGGAACTTGCAGTACGGGTCACTGTAGCCATTGCGGTCGGCCGAGGGGAGATCGGCAGCATCCATGACGTCCACCCGCAGAGTACCCATGTTGTTGATACTCTCAGTGGGGTCGAGCTTCATCTGGACCGGGATGTACCGGGCACTGACAGTGATCTTGCTGATTTCTCCGTCATTGCCCCGAAGAACCAACTCAGTCGGGGTGTACAGAATTCGCTGCAAAGTGGAAAGCGTATCACCCGTCAACTTGGCAATCGTGTGATCATCGCTCTCATCCTTGGTGTCTTTTTTGTCGATGATCCGCATCGTGATCTTGGAGAATTCGAGCTCACGAACGAACGCATCACCAACATCCCCAAGCTTGGCCGCCTTCGTACGGAGTTTGGGGGAGCTGTACGCAGGGAACATGTAATCGTCCATCAGGATTTCCACCTGGACATTGTGTCGGGAAAGCTGAACCTCGTGAACGTTGAACACCAGGAAACCACATTCGTATTTGGGAAGATCTTCCACAGAGATGTACGTCTTGGGAGCCTCCTTGATTGATCTGATGGACATCGTCTCCGAATCCTTGGCAGTTTGCGGGCGAGCTCCATTTGTATCGAGGCTAACACGACTGCTCGCGGCGTCCGCATGACCGTTCGTAGTAGTTCCGTTGGTGCCATTTGTGCCATTGGTTCCGTTAGGAACCGCAGAGGTCTTGGAATCGATGCTGGCAGACTTGGAATGTCCGGCCGCACTCTTGCGCTTGGAC